CAGTTCCCAGCACCCATATAGCAGCTCATAAATATGTGCAACTCTAGTTCTAAGGGATCCTACACCCTCACCTGGATGTACATACAGGTAAAATACCAAGCCACATAAAATAATTATTTTTTAAAAGATTTATTTTTGTTTTATGTGTTTGTTTTGCTTGCATGGATGTATGTGCACTGAGTGATCAAGGAGGTCAGAAGAGGATGACTAGTCCCCTGGGAATGCTGGGATTAAAATTGTGCACCACTATATCCAGTTTTTAATTTTTTAGGTAGTCTTGCTTTGTAGTTCTGGCTGGCCTGGAGCTCATTATATAGTTCAGACTAACCTTGCCTTTGTGTGTGTGTGTGTGTGTGTGTGTGTGTGTGTGTGTTTTGTTTTTGTTTTTTTGTTTGTTTGTTTGGTTTTTTTTGAGACAGGGTTTCTCTGTTTAACAGTTCTGTCTGTCCTGGAACTTGTTTTGTAGGCCAGGCTGGCCTTGAACTCACAGAAATCTGCCTGCCTCTGCCTCCCAAGAGCTGGGATTTAAAGATGTGCCACCACAACGACCCAGCCTATAAAGTTTGTGTGTATTCACATCACAAGCATGCAGATACCTATGGAGGCCAGAAAAGAGTGACAGATACCCTGGTACTGGAGTTACAGGTATTTGGGAACTATAAGACATGGATGGTGAGAACTAAATCTGTCTTCTGGAAGATCAAGTGCTCTTAACCTCTGAATAATTTCTCCAGACTCCATGTTATTTTTTTTGAGGCACTGTTTTACTATGTGGCCCTGGATGGCCTTGAATTCAGAGATCTACCTGCCTCTCCCTTCAGAGTGCTGAGATTAAAGTCATGCACTATCACTGCATGGCTAAAAAATATTTATTTATGCATGTGTATGGACACACATGTGTGTCATAGCTTTCATGTGGAGGTCAGAGGACAATTCGCAGGAGTTGATTCTCATTGTTAGGATTGGTGGCAACTATCCTTACATACTGAGACATCCTCATGTAGTATTTTTTTAATTAAAAAATTATGGCTAAGAGTGGTTTGACTTCATGTCTGTCTGTGTACCACATGCATGCCTGGTGGTAAAAGAAGCCAAAAGACAGAGCTGGAGCCCCTGAAACTGGACTTATAGTCAGCTGTGGGCCATCATGTAGATGCTGGAAATATGAACTTGAGTCTTTTGCAAGAGCAGCCAGTGCTCTTAACTGCTGAGCAATCTCTCCAGCCCTCCATGTATTATTTTTAAGATCACACACACAAAAATGTAGGATCAAACAAAGAAATTGGCAGGAACAAGTGGTAAGGGTCATCCTGTGGCCCAAGACAGCCAAGAGCACAAGTGCTCAGGAGCCTAGGATGAATGCACAAATACTGTGTGGTTGCTATGTGAGATGAGAAGCTGGGCTAATTCCTACTACCTGTAGCAAGGAACAAGCTGAGCAAGAACTGAAGCCATGACCCCACCCTTGGCTGGGCTTCTACTTCCTACGGGGAATGTGTGCCTGCCAATTCACCTTTCTTCCCTGTTGGCAGCATGGAGCCAGGCATGCAGGACAGTATATGGCGTTCCACTCTGGTTTTTTTTTTTCTAGATACAGTTTCTCCTTATAGCCCTGCTGTCTAGAACTTGCTTTGTAGACCAGGCTGGTTTTGAACTCAAGAGAGATTTGCCTGACTCTGCCTCCCAAGTTCTGGGATTAAAGGTGTGCACTACCACTCCCTGACTGTTTTTTTTTTTTAATTTAAATTTTACTGTGTGTTTACTGAGGTTGTCAGGCTTTCATTGAAAGCACTTTTACCCTCTGAGCTATCTTATCCACCTTTTTTCTTAAATAATTTATTTTTATGTGCATTGGTGTTTTGTTTGCATTTATGTCTGTGTAAGGTATGGATTCCCTGGAACTGGAGTTACAGACAGTTGTGAGCTGCCATGTGGGTGCTGGGAATTGAACCTGGGTCCTCTGGAAAAGCAGCTAGTGCTCTTAACTAATGAGCCACCCCCCCCCCTTTTTTTTTGAAGAGGGTTTCATGTAGACCAGCTGGCCTTGAACTCCTTATGCTGTCTTCACCTTCCAAATCTCAGCATGGTGATGGTGGCATATGCCTTTAACCTCAGCATTTGGGAGGCAGAGGCAAGCAAGTCTCTGAGTTCCAGGCCCACCTGGTCTACTGAGAGAGTTCCAGGACAGCTAAGGCTATACAGAGAAAACCTTTCTCGTAAAACCAAAACCAAAAACCAAGAACAAAACAAAACAAAACAAAAAAAAACCAACAAATCTCAGCATGGAGGGGATTTGGCCATACAATCCCACCCCTAGCCATGGATTGAATAGGAACTGTTATCTTCTAGGAAAGGAAGACAGTTTTCCCTATGTTGATCATGCTCCAATGGAAGACATCCAAGAATATTTGAGCAGCATAAATTGGCCTGGAACTTTTTTTTTCTTAAGACATAAAGTTGGGTGGGTCAGTAAGCGGGGGTGGATATGAGAAGAGTTGGGGGAAGGGGAGAGAATATGAACAAAACACACACGAAGCACAAAACTGAAAGAAGAAAAATAAAAGACATGGTTGCTTAAATAAGATCTGTATAATGACAACTCCACTTGACATGTCAATGTGGAGGAGGGAAAATTCACAAGGTCCCATCCATAGGTAAACAACTATAGGCAATCAATGTCTGCCAAGAGAGGGAAAAATCAGTTTTCTCTAGGTACAAGCATCCTGATAGGTTTTTCAATCACAAGTGGTGTCTTAGTTAGTGTTTCTATTGCTGCAACAAAACACCATGAACAAAAAACATGTTGGGGAGGAAAGGGTTTATTTGTCTTACACTTCAGCATTGCTGTTCATCACCAAAGGAAGTCAGGACTGGAACTCAGGAGCAGGATCCTGGAGGCAGGAGCTGACTGATGCAGAGGCTATGGAGGGGTGCTGCTTACTGGCTTGCTTCCCCTGGCTTGTTCAGCCTTTCTTATAGAACCCATGACTACCAGTCCAAGAATGGAACCACCTATCATGGGCTGGACCTTCCCCCATCGGTCACTTGCTGTGGGATGTCTTGCTGTATGCTGTGTGTTGCTCTCATTGGTTAATAAATAAAGCTGTTTGGCCAATGGTGAGGCAGAATAAGGTTAGGCGGTACATTCAAAGTGAAGACAGTGATGAAGAAGGATGGAGTCAGAGAGAGGTCATCCAGCCACCCAAGGAGCAAGCTGTCAGCAGACCAGTAATGCCATGGCCACTAGGCAATATATGGATTAATAGAAATGGGCTAATTTAAGATGTAATAGCTAGCTAGCAATAAGCCTGAGCCATAGACCAAACAGTTTGTAATTAAGCCTCTGAGTGATTATTTTATAAAAACAGCTGCTGCCCGGGCAGGATAGAGAACCTTCAGTCTAGTCACTGAGAAAATGCCTTACAGCTGGATCTCATGGAGGCAATTCCTCAACTGAGGCTCCTTCCTCTCTAATGGCTTTAGCTTGTGTCAAGTTGACACCCAAAACCAGCCAGTACAAGTGGTCAGCCCTAAACACATGAAATATAAACAACTCTAAATGGACTCAATAGGGGTTACCTGGGGAGAAAATAATAAAAATGTTCTACAAGTGTACAAAAATTCTCATGTTAAGAGAATTTCTTATATTAAAATTTTTTTATATTTTTTATGTATGTCGAAATAAAAATATCATGTTAAGCCAGGCAGAAGTGGTACACAGCTTTAATCCCAACACTCAGGAGACAGAGGCAAAGGCAGATGGGTCTCTGAGTTTGAGGCCAGCTGGATCTACAGTGTGAGCATTCCAAGTTTGAGCTACACAAACTCTATCTTCCAAAACAGTAAAAAAATAAAATAAAATAAGAATTGTATTAAGATGGATGACGGGACAAATGAACTTTTAAAAATGTCATGCAACTTTATCTTGGGTTTCTGGTTGTTTTTTATTTTTTAAAGATTAAAAAAATTATATGTATGACTTTTGTCTTCATCTATCTATATATAACATGTATGTCTTCTGCCCACAGAAATCAGAAGAGAGCATCAGCTCCCCTGGAGCTGGAGCCACGGCCAGCCTGTAAACTACCATGTGTGTGCTGGGAATTGAACCTGGGTCCTCTGGAAGAGCAACCAGTGCTCTTAACCACTGAGCTATTATCTCTGCAGCCTAGGATTTAAATTTTTTTAATTTTCATTTTGAGACACTGTCCTGGAACTGTGATATGTAGATCATGGCAGCCTCGAATTCAAAGAGATCCTCCTGTTTCTGCCTCCCAAACGCTGTGCACCACTATGCCTGGATAAAACCTTTTTTTTTTTT